TCCCCTCTATTTATGTATCCAACCTTCAGCTTTCAACAGTATTCATAGAGAGCTTTCTAAGAATCAAGTGTTGTTTCTCAGAATTTTCAAAATCTGTGTTGTTGGGCTTCGTACTCTAACCCATCCTTTCAGAAAATGAAGATGTTTAAAATCAGGACTCTTTCTGAAAAAAAATTTAATAATATACTAAATTGTTGCACTTAATCAGCAACCATCAAAGCTGGTACACATTATAAAATGAGACTAGGTTTTTCTCAGACCCTTTACCAAATCCCCTGCCTGCATTCTTGTCCAAATTTAGTTAGCATGGTATTTTCTAGTGCAATGAAAGTCTGTAGTCATCTACTGCTAGATAGCCTAGTCAATGCAGTGCTTGAAGGCTGACTTACCTGTGACCTGCATGATGAATATTATGAATCTAAAATTATCTTTAGATGGTAAGTTTATGTGCATTACCATAATATTGGAACCCAAATAGTTATTTCATGACTCATAGTCAGAAATTTTTTTCCCCAAAGCACCCTTAATAATATTTAAATAAAACACAAACATCTCATTGACTCAAAATCATTTTCATGCATAATGAACACAGATGAAGCCTCTCAGACATATGGTTTAGCAAATAAGAAAACATAGATTATACATAAGTGATTATGCATTTTAGTTAACAAATATTTGTTGAGTATCTATCATATGCTAAGATGTCTTCTAGGTGCTGAGAATACAACAATGAACAGTACATTATAAGGAGATTAGAATCTATGAGAATGACAGACAGGAGCAAATTTACCAAAAAAAAATGCAAACAAATCAATAAGATAATTTCACAGACTGATGAGAGCTCTGAATGGTTGACATGATGGACAGAGAGATCGAGGTGCTGGATGACCTGGTTAATCAGGGAAAACCTCACTGGAGGAGTGGCATTTCAGTTGACACCTAAATAAGACTTGTAATAAGGAAAAGAAAATGGGTTCATTGCTTTCATTCTTTCATTTTTCCTGAGTGATTTATGATCAGTTTCACCATTCACAACTACTCTTTATCTGAGGCTTCTAATAGCAATTTTGATTTTAGTCAACTAAACCAGTATTTATGAAAGAGTCTCATTTTGCTCTACTAATTATGCTGTATATAGCAGGAAACTCCTTTCTAATTTAGGGGCAGCTGGGAGAGCATTTGGAATTGCCATACAAGGTATGTATTTAGGGCCAGGCACAGTGGCTCACACCTATAATCCTCACACTTTGGGAGGCCGAGGTGGGTGAATCATTTGAGGTCAGGAGTTAAAGACTAGCCTAGCCAATATGGTGAGACCATGTCTCTGCTAAAAATGCAAAAATTAGCCAGGAGTGGTGGTGCGCACCTGTAATCCCAGCCACTCAGGAGGCTGAGGTTGCAGTGAGCTAAGATTGTGCCACTACACTCCAGCCTGAGCAACAGAGTGAGATATCATCTCAAAAAAAAAAAAAAAAAAAGTATGTATTCAGATGGCAGAAATTGCTTAAATTGAGGTCCACATTAGTTATTTAAAAACACTTAGCTGGAGAAATAGCATATTTAAAGCAGATATATTAACTATTCAGGCCACCTGATATACATATTACATATAAATATATGTATAAACAAATAAATTTGACTCTAATCCTAATTTCAACTAAAAATTTATGAAAAAGTAGTAAGTGAATGTTACTTTATTTTCTAAAGACTGCATAGAAATAAAGTGCTCTGTGAAGTTTCTTAGAAAATGAGTTATTTTGTATAAAATTTTAGGATGGTGTAATTTAATCATCATACTTACAAATATCTAGCTGACAAAAGCCATGTACTAGTCATAATTTCACATGTTCTTCTTTTAAAATGCTAGTAGAATTAATTTTTTCCAAATACTTCTTTAATCTTTGGTTTTACAGGGACATTTTCAGGTTTAATCTACAGTTTTCACATTGAACAACCCAATAAAAGGAAATTTGTAACCAGCTCAATTCTTAAGATGTAAAGATTTATCCAAAGTACCAAGAGTTTTACACTGTAAGTGAGAAGGATTTCTAAAGTTTGAACTTAACGTCAAAATAACACACTGTTCACTCCTAGTAACTTACTGCTGTTCAAGCAGTATCTTTTTACAAATGCAGGGGCAGGCAGGGGCCATGGAAAAAGTCAAGTTGAGCAAGAGGACAACAATAGTGCTGAAACTGTAAGGTTGTGAAAGGAAAGAGCCTTGGCAAGTCTGGAGAGGATAGAAAGAGGTTCTAGCATGAGGTCAATGGGTTACACTTGATTGAATGTTTACAGTGGGATCAGAGGGGCACATGGAGACTTGACATAAGAAAAAGTGCACTAAAATAGAAAAACATTATTTGTAAAAACAATTTAACAAAAATGGAAGAGGAAATAACATGCATGTAAGAGATTCTGAGTCAGAAAGGGATGCAGTACAGTACATAGACAAAGCCAAGTTCAGGGCAGGGTGAGAAGCCACCAACGATTAATGTGATGTTTTTATTTTTCTCATTTATGTTTCTCGTGATTCAAACCCCCTTCAAAAAATCAGATATACTCTTATCACAAAGCCTGTGGTCTTAGCTCTTCCTGAGAATACTTCTCAGTTTCCAGTGCTTTATTGGTCTTTACAGGATTATGACCTGCTAACACTTCTCCCAGATGCCTGCACATCTAGTTACCAGGCCCCAAGGCTTGAAGATGCCAAGGCCCCCAAAATGTAACCCTTGTGGCAACCTAACTTTGGCAACTACAGTTTTCTAGCTCACATTTTTAGAAAGTTAAAAAGCTCTAAGTTTCCATAATAATCTCATTATGCACGAAACACCCAAGGTAATCGACTTCTCTTTCTTAGCAGGAAAATCAGTACACAGAATGGCGATTCTTGTTACCAAGTGGCAGTCCATTATAGCAGTTAGGCTACTGGATTCAAATCCTGCCTCTTTGGCTTTTACTACCATAGGACCTGGGAAAGCTATTAAACCTCTCTCAGCCCATTTCCTCATCCGTGAGATGACGATTAAAACAAATATTTCTTCATAGAATTATTACAAGAACTAAGTAAGTAGATATAGGTAAATTGCTTACCACAATGCCAGTTTTTAAATTAGAATGATGTTATTCATCAGTGTTGGGAATCTAATAGTCCAACAAATCTTCCTTAAAGGCTATAGTTACTTTGAAGAAAACATTTTGCATTTGAAAATTTAAGATTCTCTTCAGAATTTTTATTCCCTGAATCAGTCCACTAGAGTTGCACAAACCACCCCTTCCTTCAACAAGAAGGGAACCAGAAAGAATAAACAATGTTAGCTCTGGGGAAGGGATTATATCAGTGGCTTCCTTTCTCCCCCATACTGACAGTAAATACAGTCCACGTCTTTGCTGCATTTCAGAAGGCTGTGTGAAAATACTTCCTTTTAATTAACTAAGGAAAGGGGAAAATTCTGATAAGTTTGTTTGGGAATTTTAGATATCACAATGAGGTTTAGAAAATAAGGAGCAAAAGAGCATCAAGAGTTTCCATCTCTTACTTGCTTTCTAATTTTCTCCTAATGTACTGTTGGTTCAAATCTTTTTTCTTAATTTTCTGAGATTATTTAGCAGAGAAGCATCAGAAAAACCCCAACCTTTGAGAATGCAATAGATTTCTCTGAAATGTTTAAACACAACTCACCGTATGGTAAAGAGTTTAACGGTACCCTTCAAAAATGTATTGATCATGGTAGCAAATAGCAATACTTTGCCACAGATTCTATGGCTAATTGTTTTGTTCATACTAAATTTGAAAGCAAAATAAAGTTAGGCTATCATTCTTCAAGCGAAAGCAAAGACAAAATGAATTTCTGAAATAATTAGTTGAAGAGTTTCCATGTACCATTACAGATCACCTGAGTTGAGAAGCATTGATACTACACAGACTGTCAGATCCAGGGAAGAAACAAGAGCTGACAAGGGCTTTGGACAGTAGTCACTGAAACAAGGGAAGAGGGCTTTAATTAGCACAGTTTGCAGGTGAGGATCTGTGGCCTCAGATTGGAGGCAGAACTTTCTAACAACAAATGGCTTAATTTGAGAAGTGTGAACACTATATGACTTCAGAGACCTCCAAATTTTCATTCCAGAATTCTAAACTGCTGTTTCATGAGAAAAGTAGAGCTAGAACTTACAAAGGATGAGGAAGTCAGAGGGCAGCCCCTGCTTTAGATTATTTGTGTCATAGGTAGTTTCTAGAAAGGAAATAGAAAATTCCAAACACTCTCAGCCGGTAAGTACTGTAAAGACAAATACTCTTTTCTGATTTTTAATTTTTTTCTCTAAATTATGATTTTAGTTCCACTTTTAGAGTCTTAAACTGTGGCTTTTTAAACCCACCAATTTGTTCACTCATAAAAGCAAGCAGGCAAATGAAAGGTATTCACTAGCTCTTTCAAGAGGCAATACCTGGATGTTTGGATCCCAAATGCAAACTTCTCTAATATTCACACTGAAAAAATGCCATTTAGAGTCTAAGTTAGCTTGAAAAAAGAGTTCAGACAAAGGGCACAGATGTCCACTTACCATTTTCTTGTTTCTCAGTAATTCTCCTCCTTTCTCAAGAAGAATAAAATGACAGATGGCAAAAATTATCTTACATGTTCCAGTAGAATTCCTGTTTACCAGATGAGGTCAGAGCAATTAGTACATCTGGAAAACAAACCAGGAGATGACATATTAGTTATGCAAGTATTTCTCTGGAAAGTAGGAACATAAGATATAAGAAAAGTCATACATGGGTGCTTCAGTTGTTCACAGCAACCTGAGCGCAGGTTGTAATCCACTTTGGCTTGGGTGTCTAGGTTGCCTTCCACTGGGGGAGAATGATCATAGATGTGGTAAATGGAATTAATACAATAAAGCCAATATAATAAACACTGATGTTTTGTCTTCTGACAGCATATGAATGTGCAAGCATTAAGTTATAGGAGAAAAGGGGCTAATTTTAGATTTGTTCCTAGCCCTCTCCATGTGAATGGTGTCGCTGTGAGCCCAGCAATGAAGTTCACTGTGTTGTAGCAGACTGCGCAGTTCCTGAGTGTGTCAACCCAGTCTATGAACCAGAACAATGTTGTCCTGTCTGCAAAAATGGTAAGACCACACTGCATTAGCTTTCAAAGAGGGGTTAGCACAAAATACAAATATTTCACTACTGCACACCATTCAATGCAAGAGCCCTCTGAGATCTGCCTGTGGCTTTTCAATATGGGCATGGCAGATATGTATTTTTATCCCGCCTTAAAGTGAAAATAAACCTGCAGTGGGTTTATTGTGCAACTTTCCATCTGGGGAATGTAAGCCCTTGTAAGCTGACTTTGTTGTGATCCCTATTATTTCTTGTTGATTTATAAGGAGGGTATTGGAAAGAACACAGTACCATCCTTTTGTAGTGACTGCATTCCTCTCTTTTGTAGAGCCAGTGAAGCAGTTCACCCCAATTTGTGGTACATAAGCTAGGATACAGAATAGGATAAATGCCAGGTATTTTGTTTTGAACATAGATAAGACGTCAGGTTTAAAGTTAAATGTAAAAATCAAGAAATATAAAATAAAATTATCAATGTACTTCCATTGAAGTAATAAAGATCAAAAGCTGAGGGCTTTTATTCTAGGTTTTTATTACAGTGGAACTGTGCTCTCACAGTAATTGCTATAGTGGGGAACTTGTTTTATTTATAACATTACAGATTCATTTTTGTCCCTCATGGAACCGAGAGGTTGAAACAACTACAACATCCTAATCACCCAAAATCAACATGATGCTACAGAGAAGACAAAGCAATGCTATAAACCCAAGACAGCACATCAACAAAGCCAATAGCGCGCTTTGCCTTGTGACCATGTGCTACTGAAAAGGGAAAAAAAATTCTTTACTAGGTCATACTCTACAAATGTTCTCTCTGTCATTAGTATCTGCTTGAAAAAGTAGTTCTAGTCCCTAAATAACATAAGCTCACTCACTTTCATGCTGAATTTCTGTGCCTTTTCTTGAGTTGGCAGTCGTCATCTTTACTAGTTAATTTTTGCTCCAAATTTGGAGCTCACTAACTAATCTTTTCCTTCATAGAAGGGTAATTAGTAAAAATAAGCATAAAAATATCTTTTATCTTTTATAAAAGATAAAAAATCTTTTTAAAAGATTTTTTAAGTAGCTCTGGTTGTTTCCGATAATAATTTTTGTGTTTTGATATCTTCCAAAGGACTTATTAAAAACCTTTGTGACATTTTCCAGACACAGGTTTTGCTATTTCTGATCATATAAATCCATTAACTTGAATATTAAGTTGCTCATCTGGCTTCTCTTTTTCTTCTTATCTCCTTTCTCCAATCTACCTGTCATAGTGACCATCTCTCTGACTTAGCAGAAAGAAATAACACTCCTAAAGTTCTAACTCATCTAACATAAATATATGCAAAGATATTAAAGACTTTAAATTTTTAAAGGGGTTGAAGAAACTGGAAAAGATACAAGAAAGAACAATAGTAAGATTTAATGGTTGAAAAATAGGACCTATGAGGACAGACAGAAAGAGTTAGCATAATTTGTTCTAGAGAAGAGGAGGCTCGGGTGAGGCCAAACTGTCATAAAGTATATGAATGGTGAATCTAAAGTAGAAAAGAAAGTGCTATTTTTCATTTTCTCCAAGGATAAAAGGAAGAAAAACTCAACTACCTAATCAATCTTTAAAAATTGGATTGACAAGTCTTAGACTGAAGACCGCTTTTTTTCTTTTTTCCCCTAGAAGCAACCGTCTAACAAGTCCTTGAGGATCTTTCTTTCCCTAGGTGGCCCTGGTTAGCTTTGTCTCACTTTTAGCTTTGTGTCACAATTATGGTTATAGCTAAAATTTCTTGTCTAGACACATCCAGCATACTCATAGAATATGTAAAGCATATGTTTAAAATATAGCTTTATACATGCATCTATCATATCCTTCTAATGATCCTACAGTAAAGCCCATAATATACCCAGAGTTAATGTCTATGTCATATGTTAAATCAGCCACTACAAACTAGTCACACTTAATTTGATGTCACCGAAGATTGTCCTATTTCTATCATGTCAGAGTAGAAATTTTGCTCCAAATGAAATCCTCTTTGTACAAAAATGTATAATGAATAGACTTTATGTAACCACTAGTATTTCTGATTAACAGATGCTAAGTACACAAAGTGTATTAGTTAAGTTTTCTGATTTTTTTAAATTATGAAGCACTATGAAATGGCCACTTTTGTTCCCTCTTGGTACTTCCAAACCAATTTTCTTTTCTTAAATAAGGGAAATAAATCTGAATTTAAATTAGTGGAAGGACTGATTATAACATTATGATATCTTTTTATTTTTATTAAATGCCACTAATTAGTCACATGTGCCCTAAAACTAAAGTATAATCATTGCCAAAGAAGAGTATATCAAGAACCACTGAAGACTCCTATGACCACCAGTGGTACCAATAATTTTATTGAGAAGACAGGCTGAGTCCCAGGTTTTGCTAGCTCTCATTCTAAGCCTAGCCCAGGAAACAGAAACAGATGAATGATATAGAGAAGACATGTAGGAAAAATAAATGTTAATTATGACAGTATAACAGGAATAACTTAAATTTCCAATACATGATTTAAGTCTCTCATTATATATGAGAATATAAAAATGTCCATTATAGTATAAATTATTTTAACTATAGCTGCTATGTTCATAGATTTTTTTTTAAAAAAAAGCAACAATAAGCTAAAAATATCTCCTATAGATTCAAGGTACAGGCAATACATTTTAACTTATAAACAGTCATAACATTTTCTACAATCTTTATAAATGATAATTTGGCAGGCAAGTAATTTTCAGTTTGCATAAATTCTGATTATCTAGGCTGTCAAATACTTTTTTTTCATATTAAAATTGATTTTTCTGCCTTTCTGAATTACAACTTGCCAAAAGCACGAAGTATTAAAGTTATAAAACTTTTAAAATATGATATAAACTTTATATTAAAGATATAAGCTTTTTAATGTGATAGAATCTATCACACCTAAGCTTAAAACTCAATATTCAGCTAATATAAAAATCTTTGTTTTGATATTGAGAGCAAACAAAGAAGCAAAACAATATGTACATAGGTTTTCCATAAAACAGTAGTTTACCAACAAAAATATAACAGTTATCTTTAGAAATAAATATTTGAATATTATAAAGTGCAGGGTAATCTCCCTAAAGAAGGGTAGCATGTCTTTATTCTTGATAATGTGATTTGAAGAATAAATTTAAGATCATATATTTCTAGAAATTTTATCTAATTGTGTAAAGAAGAGAGTTTTAAATTTCCTTGTCTCCATGAATATTTTAAACAAGATTTTCAATGGTTATCAATGACTATACCCAAACTACAAAATATACAGTAATCTATTCATATTACACGTAGTTCAGCACCAAAAAGAGTCTGTGCGTTTAGCCTGAATAAAATAAAAAAGCTAAGGAAAGATACAAATGACTGGACAGAGTCTATGTAACACACATCATAGGAGGAAAAAGATGAGAGTAATTTTTTATTTGGTGAGAACTGGGGGGATTGACATAGGAATTTATTGTTTCTAAAAATATTATTAAGCATTTGTTTCTCTTTCCTTTACACAGCTTCAAGAACTAGCAATACAAATGCCTTCTTGAAAAATATGACATTTTCAGACTGTTTTTCTTTCCCTAAGATTGTGTTACTTTGACCTATCCTTCAGTCCTAGGCCTTTCCATGTGAATTAATGAGCACTCTTTATGGATTTTTGTTTTTATGGTATGAAAAAAATAATTTAGCACGGCATCTGTTTAAAGAAAACATTCTGGTTTGGAATGTTACAGAAATATTTAAAACGTGGAAACTAACCTTAAATTTGACTAGTAATGGGACTATATATATATATACACATTATGTATACAGCTAAGAATGCTTATCATTTATTTTTGTATGTGAATTAATATAAATTTCAACCTCTTGCTCTGCAGCCACTCATTCCATTCTTTAGTTGTTTATACATGCTGATATTTTTGTCCCAAGTCATTAAGAATCTGTATTTATAGAATGCTGAACATCTGGATTAAAAAATAAAATATGTAGTCAGTTATCAAAATATTTGATCATTGGAGCATCCAAATGACAGACTGTATATTTTACATTTCATTATCTGGTATGTCAGTGAGTTCTGTGTTTTCACATATATAGATAGAGTCAGTAATTATTCAAAGCTCAGAAGGAAATATTACCCTATGAAAAAATTGGAAAGACAGAATGCTCCCAGAAAATCCTATACACATATCAAGTTTCATTTCTTTTCAACTAAATTAAAGTTGTCACAAGCCCTTTTCAAATATTTAATTCTATATTCCTCACTCTCTTCTAGTTTAGTAGTCATACAAATAGGCAGAAGATAAACTAGGCAAAAGGTTGAATATTAATAGAAAAGAAGAGGACAGCAAAGTGGATGAGCCATGCAGAAATAAGAAAGAGAAGGGACTTCATAGGCATCCAATATCTTCTAAAGGTCCTTGGGAGAACATATTTGCCAAATACAATTGTTAATATCTCTAATACACAAAGAGCTCCTTAAAGTAAATTAGAAAAGCTAGGTGCAGTGTCTCACGCCTCTAATCTCAGCACTTTATGAGGCTGAGGTGGGCGGATCACAAGGTCAGGAAATCAAGACCATCCTGGCTAACACGGTGAAACCCTCTCTCTCCTAAGAATACAAAAAATTAGCAGGTTTGGTGGTGCACGACTGTAATCCCACCTACTCGGGAGACTGAGGTAGGAGAATCACTTGAACCCAAGAGGCAAAGGTTGCAATGAGCCGAGATCGTGCCACTGCACTCCAGCCTGGGCGACAGAGAGAGACTTGGTCTGAAAAAATAAAGTAAGAGAAAGAAAAACAATTCTACAGGGAAGGAAATGGGCAAAGAGCATATAAAGAAAATTTATATAAATAATGAAAAGTCTAATAAACATATTAAAAATATATAATAATCCTCAAAAGGATAAGAAGATAGAAATTAAAACAATGGGATGTCAATTTTTTATTGATGATAATGTGAGATTGATGGTTCCTCA